TGATAATAGGGCGAGTTTTGCCTTCCCAACTTTTATGACCGTCCCCACCCATCCCTCGAACCTTGTTGGGTTAGAAATTAAGTTGTCATCCCGTCCTCATTGGGTCGTGGATTTCCTTGCTCCCAACCTATTCCCGTTTTATGTTATTTCTAAAAAAATAATTATACTTATAATAAATTAATTTTAATATTTTTCATGTAATTATAAAAAATAAATATTTATAATTTAATAATTTTTATTTATTATTATTAATTAAGTATATACTTTAATTTATTATATTAAAATATGTATATAAAAGAAACGTATAATCATTTTTTTACTTATAAAATCATTATTATTATTATTATTATTATATATCTATAACATTATATTCAAACATTTGATTATATTTATATGTTAATTAGTTTTTAAGTTATCATTTTAAAATATATATATAGATTTTAAAATATTTATAGATATAAAATATATAGTTTATAAAAAATATTTAATAATTTAAAGTAATAAAAATTTTAATTATATGTTTTTTAATCTTTAAAATACAATTTAATATATAACAAATAGAGTAATAAAATCCAAAAATATAACCAAATAAAATCTAATAAAGATAAATTATAAATAAAATAATATTAGTTACTATTGACGTAGAATATTTTAAAAAAATATGAAGAAGAAAAATTAACTTTTGTGTTGTCAAATTGGTTGTATGAGATTAGAAAAATCAGATTGAACGAAGAGATCACGAAAATATAAAGAAGCAAAAAATAAGGGAAAATATAATATAATGAATCATTGATCTAAAAGATTGAAAAAGACAAAATAGTGAAAAGTGGATAGAAAAAAAAATAAAAAATGTGAAATATAGAAAAATGTATATAATGCTAGAAAAAAAATATTTTAAAAATATTAATATTTTAGGATTTACATATAAATATAAAGTTAAGATGAGGACTGAGAGGTGGACAAGCCTGGGTTGAGGATTACATTAGTCATTTCCGTCTTCGTCCTTGATCAACTCGATTTTCTCCATTAAATTCAAGGTGAGAATAGATTGATTCTCGTTGATATGATTTAATTGTTAATCCTATCTGCTACCATAATAAAAATTTGGATTGTAGTAAAATAATAGTAAACAGAATATCTAAAAGTATTGTATTTTGAAGTATATTAGGGTTATAACTATATAATTCTATTTCAACAATTTAGAAAATTATAAACTATTATTATTGAGACAAAGAAATTGAACTTTCTCATTTGGACTTATATACAAGCCCATGTGCAAATATAATATAAATAAACTAAATAATATATATATATATATATATATATATATATATATATATATTAATACTCAAATGGGGTATGATATAAAAAATAAATTTCATATTGTTTATTTTTTTCCTTTAAGTTATTTACATTTAAATTGGTGTGACTCACCAATTATTTTGTATAATATAAGTTTTCTCTTATAATATGTAATCAATTGTTTTATATGGATGTCTTTAAAAAGACAATAATTTTGTAAAAAAATAAATAATACCGTATAGGATAAAATAATTTTATTTAAAAAATAAATAAAATATTTAAATTTAAGGAAAAAATAACTAAAATAAAATTAAATAAGATTAAGATATTCTTTTTCGATAATTTGAATTTTATTATAAATATATTTTTGTAATTTAATTTTGATAACCTCAAATATCTTATTATTTGTTGATATATATATATATATATATATATATATATATATATATATATATATATATATATATATATATATATATATATGTTCAATCTATCTTATGATCATTCATAATTGTAATTAATACAAATACTTTTTCACTACAAATATAAATTAGAATATATATTTATTTTTTGACAAACCATTATTCCTTTCTTTGTATAAAATTGATAAGATGATTTTAAAAAATCAAAGTCCCAAGTAGGAAAAATGTTACTTGTCTCTCTTAGTGGACTTAAAATGTTCTTAGGGGTGTCAAAGTGAGTCAACCGGGCTCACACGGGTTGACTCACAACGGGTTGAGCTGAAAATAGGTGAGCTCAACCCGGTTCACTTTTTGGCGAACCAGAAATTTTACAACCCGGCTCAACCTACCACGGGTTGGTGAGTTAGGTGGGTTAGGTGGGTTGGCTCACTAACGCATATTTTTTTAATTTTTTTAATTATATAGAAACTTCGGATGTAGAAACTTATGTTTTTTTTTCCTTTCTTTCTCAACATCAGTATCTTCGTTATTAACTAAAATTGACTCATTGAGTTTTTCATTAATAATAAAATCATCACCAATACAATTTACATTGACACTTTGATGTATTGTTTCAGATTCCATACTATAAATTAATTTAAAAGAAAAAAGTCAAAAATTCATATATTAAAGAGATATATGTATAAATCAATAACAAACAACAAATAATGTATAGATGCTACAATTTTCAAATAAAGATTCATCAATCCAATAGTTTAGGTTATGAAACAAATTCTTACCTTTGAAAACAATACAGTGGACATGGTGTAGTGGTGCGGTGGACAAATAATAAGACAAATGACCAAAGTGCAGCGACAAACGTAATGATGCAACGAACAACTGATAACAAGTTTAAGTGAGGGTTTGGCTGTGGCGACAGCCAACAATGTAGGATAGAGGTAAGACATGATAACATCAATTAGAGTTACTAAAATATCATAATTATTTTTAAAATTTAAAATAAATGATTACTTAAGGTTAGTAAGGTGTCAAAGTGAGTCAACCCGGTTCATACGGGTTGGCTCACCACGGGTTGAGCTGAAAATAGGTGAGTTCAACCCGGCTCACTTTTTGGCGAGCCAGAAATTTTACAACCCAGCTCAACCCACCACAGATTGGTGGGTTAGGTAGGTTGGCTCACTAACCCATATTTTAAAATTTTTTTAAATTATATAGAAACTTCGGATGTAGAAACTTATGCTTTTTTTCCTTTCTTTCTCAACATCAGTATCTTCGTTATTAACTAAAATTGGCTCATTGGGTTTTTCATTAATAATAAAATAATCACCAATACAATTTACATTGACACTTTGATGTATTGTTTCAGATTTCATACTGTAAATTAATTTAAAATAAAGAAATCAAAAATTCATATATTAAAGAGATATACGTATAAATTAATAATAAACAACAAATAATGTATAGATGCTACAATTTTCAAATAAAGATTCATCAATCCAATAGTTTAGGTTATGAAACAAATTCTTACCTTTGAAAGCAATACAATGGACATGGTGTAGTGGTGCGGTGGACAGATAATATGACAAGTGATGAAAGTGCAATGGCAAACGTAATGGTGCAGCGAACAACTGATAACAAGTTTAAGTGAGGGTTTGGCTTGTGGCGACAACCAACAATATAGGGTAGAGGTAAGACAGGATAACATTAATTAGGGTTACTAAAGTATTATAATTATTTTTAAAATTTAAAATAAATGATTAATTAAGGTTAGTATGTTATTATAACTATTTTTAAAATTTAAAATTAATGGTGGGTTGCGGGCCAACCCACCCTAACCTGACTCGAACCCGTTTAACTCGTGGATTAAGTGAATCGGGTTCATTTTTAGCCCATAATCGGTAGAAATTAAAAAAATCGAACCCAATCCGGCTCGAACTTGTAATGAGTCGGGTTGGCTCACAGGTTAGAACCCATATTGACACCCCTTAGTATGTTATTATAATTATTTTTAAAATTTGAATTTAATGGCTCGAACCTGTTTAACCTGTGGGTTAAGTGAGCCAGGTTCATTTTTAGTCAATAATCGGTAGAAATTAAAAAAATTAAACCGAACCCGGCTCGAACTTGTGATGAGTCGGGTTGGGTCACGGGTTAAAACCCATATTGACACCCCTAGTTCTTACTAAAAAATTATAACAATGAATAAATTTAAACAAGTCGATTTGGATGACTACCGATGACTACCACTTTGAATCTATTGGACCGAGCTCTGCTGAAGATTAGAAAAAGAGAAAAGTCTAGTTGACACTTTGATACTGTAAAAAATAATAATAATAGAAAAATATACGAACGAGAATAAGATTATTTATAAATAATAAATTGATCATAATTATATATAGACTTTTTACCAATATATAATAAATTATAGAATAATAAGATATATTAATTACATATTATTACCATAATATATATTTATATAGAATATAATATTATGAATTTGGGAATCCACACCATTAAAAAAATATTATCCTTAGAATTTAAACATGATTTCATGAAGATTTGATAAGTACATTCATTAGAAAAAAAAGAAAAATAAGAAACGATAAATTTTAAAAATAAGATAAATAAAATATTTCTTTTATTTTATTAAGGAAAAAATAATAAAGAAAAATATTATTTTTTATCACATATTTTACTTTTTTTTAAAAATAAAAATATTATTTTATAAAATTTTATTTTCAAATAAATTATTAATAGTATAATTTAATATATATATATATATATATATATATATATATAATTTTAATTATGCTATTTCATTGTCTATAAAAAAACGATTATAAAAATCAAATAAAAATTTAACATATTCTAAATTTTTAATGCCATATTCTTTTATTAAGTTAAACTTAAATATTTTAGAGAAAATATAATTTTATGATAAAATCTTTTATTATTATATATCAAAGTATATATTATTAAAAAATTAATTTAAAGGTGTTAATTTAAAAAAATATATTTATTCATAAATAAGTTAATTAAAAATTATATAAACATTTTTGTAATTATATAAATATTAAATTTAAATTTATTTATTTGTTATTTTTTAATGAATATTTTAATTTATTTCATGTAAGTTTTCCACCAAATAAATAAATATATTTTCCATGTTATTTAATTATCAAATTTGTGTGGTAAAAAAGGTGGATGCTAATATATAAGAAGGTGGAGTGACATATTTGGACTAAGGTGAGTGAGTTAGTGCGAACCACAAACAATATGGTAAGCATTTTATCTTCTTACACTGTCATTCCCAGCAAGCCTACACCACACTGTACTCTCTTGCTGAGTGAGTATGAGCAAATCAAAGCATTCACTCATGCCATCTTAATCTATGTCTACAAGCCAGATCCTCTCAATAAAAATATCTCCAAAATGGTTGAAATAATCAGAAACTCACTTCGCGATGTATTGGTCCATTATTACCCACTCGCTGGGAGGCTGCGCATGATAAAAGGTGTGTTGTGATCTGATTTATATGGAAATTATTTTATTTTATCAAATATATTCTAGATTATTTATTTAAAGTATTCCAAGATTAATTATTTATTTTAATTATTCTTTTAATCTTAACTCAAATATATAAATAAATTTAAAAATCATTGAGCAAATTATATTGTTATTATGGTGTTTAAGTTGTATTATATTTTTATCTCTTCCGTTTTTCTTCTATTAAAATGATTTAAAATCTATATATAATACTATAATATTAAATATAAGTTTATTCTATTAAATATGTTTTCCCATTTTATTATTATTTATTGTTATTTTATTATTATTTTTAGTATTAATTTAGTCTATTTTTAAAAACAAATAAATATTTTTTCTTTTTTTTAATAAAAATTTAATATAATATGTATGATATATTTATGTAAGGTAAATATATATAATTGATGACTATAAGTTATATTAATACGTGGTAGATATAGGGATGTAAAAATAAATTTAGTATGCGAATATGAAAGATATGGGAAATTTGTTAGTTTAAATTAAAAAATTTGTGACTTAAATTAAATTAGATTTGTTTGGTTTATCTTGTTTAGATTATGACTTACATTGATTTAATTCAAACTAACATGTAAACTTATGAGCAAACACATTTTATAGAATAATAATAATTTTTTAAATAAAAAATAATATTATTTTATTAAAAACATATATATTATAAATTAATTTAATAAGATATTCATTTATTTTAATAATAAATATATTAGGAAGTTTTTAAAATTTACTTATTTCACAATCTAAGATGAACTATTATTTTAGATCAATAAATTACTAAATAAATTGAATAATAATAATGAAAATTAATTTTTTTAATTCTTGAATTAAATAAATCTCTTCTTTTATAATTTATATATAGTAAATTATTATATTTAAAATAATAATTAATTTTATTAATATAAATTTTTAAAATATATATTGAATTTTTATTTAAATATTTGTTAATTAATTATTATTATATAGACATATTAATAATTTTTAAAATTTTTAATAAAAAAATTAGCCTATTAACGTATTAGCCCAATATAGGACTAAATTAAAAAAAATTATATTCTATTTAAAAATTTATGTTTGATTGAGTCATTAATTTCTTTACTTGACGTGTTTACGTTGGACCGACAATTTTAAATATAGGATAATAAATATAATTATATTAATATTAATATTTTTAGAATTTAGAGTTTTTATATTTATTGTCATATTAATATTAATATTATTTTTTATAATTTAAGGGTTAGAGTTTAAAAAATAATGAAACTTGATTTGAGAGGAGAAATTATAAAACAGACAAAGCTTAAAAAAATATAAAAAGAAAATTTAACCTTAATATTATTCTGCTTTTTTATTATAACTAAAGAGCATATTTCCTATTTCCTGACTTGAGCAAAATCCTAAGAATAACACAAATTTTAAATATGACAATGTATTTTAGTTGACATATATTTGGTGGGACAACTCTGTATTAATAAAAATGTTTTTCTAAAGAATTTTATATTAATATCAAAACCCTTTGGATTCCTTAAGAACTTAGTCACTTGTAAACTAATAAGAGAGTATAACACATTTATTTCAATTATTGAATATATTTTAATGAAAAAGTTTATTTTTGTTGTGTGAAACAAAAAAGTTTAAGGAAAAAAAGAATAGGAATGAAGTAAAAAAGAAAATTAGAATTTAATTGAATGGATTTGTATAGAGAGTGGTCAAATCTGGTGTGTGCCCGCTGCTGACAAAAACATTACTGATGGTGCATTTCTTTTGTAGCCCCCCTGGTCCGCTGACACAAATTTATGGATTTAGGAAACTGTAATTGATACCAACCAAAAGTTTGGGTAAAGACAGAAAATAAATATTTTTGTTTTAAATTTAAAGTAAAAAAAAAAGATTGGAAATTTTGAAGAAAAGTAGGTGTATATTAAATATTTTCCTATTTATAAATAAATCCATTTCATGTTATATTGTTAATTTAACATTAAAAGTTAAAAACATATACGTTAAATATATATTATATTAATAAAACTAATTTTAATTTTAAATATAATAATTTGATATTTAAATTATAATATATATTTTAATGTGCTTTAAGTTTTCTCTAAGATAAAAATGATATGAAAGAAATTATACGTTTTAAATTTATTTTTAAAAAAGAAGAAATAATAATATGAATTGGGTCAACGGCTGGGTCGCGCTTGTCGGTATGTTATAAAACACGTGGGACAGGTTAAATATTTTTAATCCGTAACTCGTTTAGGTTTCTTTCGCATAATCTACAATTTGTTTGGGGCAAATCATGGGTGGGTAAAACTAACGTCCATAATTTATATATATTTTTAATATATAAATTAATAGATTATTAACAAACTTTTATATCCAATCTAATTCAACTTTTTTTTTTATGTTTTTATTCAATTTTAATGTTTAAGTTCATTTAGTTATTAATATTTATTAAATTTTGGTCATGATTATTAATAATATTTTATTTTAATTATTTTTTAAATTTAATTTAATATTAATTTTGATTAGAGAAGTCTGAATTTTGTATTTAATTATTTGAAATAATATCAAATACTTGTAGATAAATTATGAAATTAAAGATTAAATTTTCTTAATTAAAAAAAATATTTATTGAATTTTATAATAATTAAAAGTTTTTTTAAAGAAATTATTATTATATTTTAGTTTGAAGTTTATAAACTAAAATTATAAAAAATATACATGGTTTCATTACATAAAATTAAAGAATTTTCTTTTTTAATTATTATACGGCCCAAACCGTGTATCGATCGACATTTAGGTTTGACGAATCAAGATTTTCAACCAAAACATCTTATACTGACCGATCCTATCCTATTTTTTATAGAAGAAACACAAAATAGATAAAACGAAATAAAAAAACTCTTGTTAACATCTCTAAATATAAATGCATATATATATATAAAGAAAAATATTATAATTATTATTCGTGTTCTTGAGAATATTTATTATTTTTAAATACGATAAAAGTGATATTTTTAAGTTATTATTTTTAACTATTTTTCTTAAAAGAATTGATAAAAAAATTTTATAAGTATATGACGAAGAAATAAATATTTAAATAATTTAATTATAATTTTAACTATTGAAATTTAGGATATTTTTTAAAAAATCTCTTAAATTAAAAAGAAAAACGTTAGTTCTTCAAATTTAATAAAATATAAATTTCAGTTTCTATAAAATAAAATTTGAAGAACTAAAAATAATTTTAAAGAAAGTTATTTTAATTATAAAAAATTTAAATTTAGGAATTAAAATGATATATATTCTTTTTAATTTTAAGAATTTTTGTTTTGTCTCTTTAATTTCACCTAGGCAGAAGATGGGAAATGGAGTGCAATGCAATGGGCGTGCAATTGTTGGAAGCAGAAGCTGCAGGAACACTCAACGACTACGGTGACTTTGAACCCAACGACACCATCAAACACCTTATTCCCAAACTTGATTACACCGAACCCATCGACAATCTGCCATTGTTTATGGCGCAATTAACAAGATTCTCCTGCGGTGGAGTCTGCATTGGCATTGCCACTTCCACTATTGTTGTCGACGGAATTTCTGCCACTCATTTCATCAATTCATGGGCGAAGTTGGCTCGAGAAGGCACCTTGGAAAAACACGACATGCCACTTTTGAACAAAGTGGTTATGAGTTCAGACTCGAAACCCCAATTTGAGCACAGAGAGTTCAAGTCGTTGCCACTCGTACTTGGCCACTCTGACAGCATGGAGGAGAGCAAGAAGGAGACAACGCTAACAGTAGTGAAACTCTCAAAAGAAATGGTGGAGAGCCTGAAGAAGAAAGCCAATCAAGACAATGAGGGTCGAGCTTATAGCAGATACGAGAGTATTTCAGCTCACATATGGCGATGTGTAGGTAAGTATTACTAAGAAAATTAATCTATTGGTTTGATCGGAGTGAATTAGAGTTTGTTAATATTTTAGGAAGAATAAAAAACATATGTTGTTTAATATTGAGGTTTGTGTAGAAAATAATTTTTAAAAAGAGTTGCACAAGTAAAACAAAATTTGTATAAAAAAATAGATATTGATTTTGAAAGTACTACATCTCAAGTGAATCACTAATATATGTATGATACACTCTCTCAAATCTTTTAAGAATTTAGAGATAATTTTTCTTATATTAGACTTTAACTTATCTTTTTAGATATTTCTATTAATTTTAGAAGCTATTTATATAAGATTTACAATTTTAATAGTCTCTAGAATTTAAAGGAAGTTTTTAAAATTTAATTTTTTTGATCTTTCTAAAATTTGCATCACCTTTTAACACTCTTTTTGATGTAAATTCTTGTAACTCCAAGAATGAAACGTAATTGTTTAAACTTGGGTCTTGGTAGTGTCTTGGTAAATATGACTACAATTTGATCTTCTATAATGTAATACTCATTTGTTTAGTCACTTCAACATCTCTGATGAATTGATATTTAATAATTATATTTTGTTCTTTGATTATGAATTGGATTTTTTGTCATTGTTATCGCTGACTTGTCAGTAGATTGTAGTATATCCATGTTGTTATTTTCTATATCTTCAAGTATTTTTTAGAGTCATATAGTTTGACTTGTAGCCCCAAGAGAAAAATCCTACTCCAAGTGAGAAGACATAACCTGATGTACTCTTCATATTATCTATAGATCATACAAAATCACTACGTGTTAGCCAATCAACTTTGAGTAAGTCATGATTTTATACCGAATACCAAAGTCTTTTGTGCCTTGTAGATACCTTAAAATTATTTTGCTACTCAAAAGTGAATTTGACTAGGTATTTACATGAACCTTGATAAAAGGCTTGTAGAATACATGATATCTGACCCGTGTAGCTGTAAGATATAGTAAACTTCCAATCAAACTTTTGTAACGTGATGCGTCAACTTCTCGTACTCCATCATCTTTTTGTAACTTCTCGTTTGTCAGGAATAAAGTAATTACAAATTTGCAATCATACATCTTGAACTTCTTTAATAAAGTCTATATGTATTTCTTTTAAAAGATAAATATACATTTTTTTATTATCTTACCTCTATGTCAAAAAAATAATTCATCAAGTCAAAGTCGCTCATTTTAAATATTTTTATCATGTCTTCTTTAAATTTCCTTACTAATTTTATATTATTTTCTGTGTAGATAAGATCATTTATATATAAAGACAATAAAAATATTACATTTTAACTTATCTTTCTAAATTTTTAAATAATTACATAAACTACTTACATAAAATTTCCAATTTTAATAATGTGTAGAACTTAAATAAAAATTTTAAAACTTAATTTTTTTTATCATTCCAAAATTTACTTCGAGAGAGTTAGATATTACAAATATTGATAATAAATATTAATGTTTTACAAATAATCATAAATTTTCTTGCAGTGAAGGCACGTGATGGGGAGGACAATCAACCAACAGTTGTAAGCATTGCAGCTGGCGCTAGAAGCAGACTAAACCCACCTTTACCTTTAACCTACTTTGGGAATGTAACATATCCAACATTGACACCCACATGCCTAAGTCGTGATATTGTGTCAAAGCCCTTGAGCTATGTGGCACACAAGATCAGGGAAGCGATTGAGGTGTTAACAGACGAGTATTTAAGGTCAGGGTTTGCTTTCATTAGGAAGGAAAATGATGTAGGGTGGCTCAGGGACACATTTCTTGGGAACCCTAACCTTAGCATATGGAGCTGGTTGAGTAGCATGCCAATTTATGGGCCAGATTTTGGGTGGGGAAGGCCAGTGTACATGGGTCCGGGTGCTGTTAGAGGGGATGGGAGGGCATTCATTCTGCCAGGTGCAGGAGGAGACGGGTCAGTTTTAGTGGCCATTAGGTTGCAAACTGGTCACGTTGAAGCATTTAAGGAGTTCTTCCACAAGGACCTTAATATTTGAAGTGGAAGGTTTTGCAGACTTTGGGAGAATTGTGTTCAATAAGGTGTTGGGTTAGCTAAGTGGTAGGTTATGTATTCACACTACTCACGTTATGAGAGCTATGTATGGTAGGTTTTGTATTTCTTTTTAATTTAATTTTTTATTTTCATGGAGATGATCCATTAGTCTTTTAAGGGTTACGGTACGTTTCGTATGAGTAAACTTTGCAGGGTGTTGTGTCTTGAAATAAATAAAATATATTGTGTTGACAATGGTGTGGTTCCTTGCTTCAACGAGGTCGGATTTCACGAATTGTAGTTTGTTGTATTCTATCTCCCACTGGTATGTGTTGTTATGAAAGTGTATTGTCATTTTGTTAGTTTAAAGTGTATGCTTTTTATCAGTTTCTTTGAAATTTTAAGTAATTTTTGAAACTGCAATCTATTAATTATGTTAATCTAAAATTTAAAGTATTTTTATTTAAACAAAAATATTAATATACACTTAAACAACATAAATAATTAAACTTACAAACGATAACGAATAATATAATTTAAGAACTTAAAAAACAATTATAAAATTCAGAATTTTGTCTCAAATTTCTTCCTCTTTAGAGACAAAAAGTGTAGAACCTATTTACTCTTGTAAAAACTTTTCTTTATTAAAGGTTATTTTAAATTGAGAAAATTACTTTTAAAATTAAAACCTTTTGCAATTTTTTTAGGTCTTAAGCTAATATTTAAAGATCTTACATTCTTACATAATAAAATCTAAAATCTTTTCAATTTTTATTAAAATTTATTTTAGTTCTCTATTTGGAAATATAATACAATTGTATCTTTTAAATTGAAATAATATTGTTATTAAATTCACATAAACTGAATAAGTTAAAAAAAACATAATAAGGAACAAAATTGCATAAAAGTGACCCTGGATTGAATTAATTAAATTTCATAATTTTCACCTAGTCAAATTTAATTCTACAAGTTTTAAATTTTGAATATATTTAAAATTGTTTTATGAAATCAATATTTCTAAAAAATAACATTTAATCCAATTCAAAGGTTATAAAATCAAAACTATATTTTAGTGACAAATAAATAAGATAAACTATTTTAGATATAAAACATATTAATCTTGAATAATATATCTAATAAATATAAAAAGAAATTATTTGGAAATATTGAATTCCTTTATCTGGGATTTGGATAAAAAATATTGAAATTTGAATTTTTTTATTTAAATTCCTTATATTTCAAAATAATTTGTTTTAATAAAATAATTTTTTTAACATTTTAAATTTTTGAATAAGGATTTTAAGGCTAGTCAAACACTATCATGTTATTTCTTATTAATGTCGGTGAATCATTTTTAAAAATTTTCTAATACTTAAGTCAATAAGGATATATGATATAGGTTAATAAAAAATTTTTTTCAGTGAGAGAAATATTAAATTTTTCATAAGATGATACTTGTGATTTGTGGATATTTTATCCATATTATATTAGAGAATATCTTCATATCTCAACCCATGACTTGATCATATTCAAGTATTCAAGTATTTATATAGATACATATGTTCTTGAACTCGAAAGTTGAGTAATATAAGGGTGAACAAGTTGTATTTTGGTGAATTATGCTTCTCATTATTACTTTTGATGACATCACATTTAATGTAGATTTCAACAGTGTAAAATCATTGTAATTTTTGAAGTCTAATTTCAAGAGTATGAAATCTATTGCTCCCTTTTCTTCTAAGGAAGTTGAGATTTATTTTCTACCCTTACTCCAAAGATTCTTGTTCCTATTGAGTTCTAATCCAACTTCTTAACTGTCATATGAATGTGTGTAGATTGTAAGATTATTAACAACGTTGTTATAAAACATAGGCTCCTAATCCCTGGCCTAGATGATATATTAGATGAGTTACATGTTTTCTAAAATTGATCTTAAGAGTAGTTATCATCAAATGAAAATTAAAGAAGGAGATGAATGAAAAAATATTTTTAAGATTAAATTTGGATTATATGAATAGTCCGTCATACATTTTGACTTGACCAACACCTTTAGTACATTCATGAGACTAATAAATCATGTTCTTTAAGGATTGCATAAGAAAAGTTATAGTTGTTTATTTTGATTACATTCATGAGATTAATAAATCATGGGTTTGACTCCACTTAAGAAAGGAAAGGTTTCCCTGTCAAAGGAAGTCAAAACTCAATCCAAAGTATATGATCCATTTCAAGTCCTCCAAAAAAATAATGACAATGAAAATAGTAGTCATGACAATGGGACGGGGTTTGCCTTATCGATTTCAGACTTTTTTAACAGTTTCCATCCCCGACCCTGATCCTTGTTGGATTAAAATTAAGTCTCCATCCTCATTCCCATTGGATGCCTTCGACCTGTCCTCGTTCTACATGATTCCTAAAAAAATATTATATTTATAATAAATTAATTTTAATATTTTAAAAGTATTTTTATATGTAAATAAATATTTGTAATTTTATGATTTTTTAATTATAATTATTAATTACGTATATACTTTAACTTAACATTATTATTATTATTATTATTATTATTATTATTATTATTATTATTGTTGTTGTTGTTGTTGTTGTTGTTATAATTATATTCCAATATTTGATTATATGTATAAGTTAATTTTTATTTTAAGTTATTATTTTAAAATATTAATAAATATTAAATATATAGTTTATAAGAAAAATATTTAATAAGTTAATTCTTATTTAACTAATATAAAGAAATAAAATTTTAATTATCAATTCTTTTTAATTCTTCAAAATAAAATTATTTTATTAAGATAAAATTTGATATATGATAAATAGGAATAATAAAATCCAAAAAGTATGACATAATAAAATGTAATAAAGATAAATTAGAAACAAAATAATACTAGGTACTTTTGATATTTATGTATAATATTTAGACAAAGATAAAAAAGAAGAAAATATTGACTTTATGTTTGTCAAATTAACTAAAGAGATTGAAAAGACCAAATTAGTTTTGAAGAGATTAGGAAAATGTGAATGAGAAAGAGATGAGAGAAGAAGAATAATATAATAAACTGATTGGTTGATGAGACTGAAAAAGATAAAGGAATGAAAAATGAGTAGGAGAAAAGTAAATGTGAAATATAAAAGAAATTACTTTATATATAAAGTGAAAAAGAAAGGGAAATACATTAAAAAGATTAATAATTTAGGATTTAGATTTAAATATAAAGTCGAGACGATAATGGAAACAAGGTCGGATGAGGATTGCATTACTTATCTCCGCTCCTACCCTTGACTTTTTAAAGTGGAAAAAATCTAAACTTGCATTGACACCCGCACCCAGTCAACTTAATTTTTCCTCATCAAACTTAGGACGGGGACGGATCAATCCCTGCATGTATGAGTGTAATTGTCATCCCTAACATATAGACCATATCTTCCACTCGAATATTGTGTTACCCTCCTTTTAATGTCTATGATCTACCACCTTTTTTAAACATCATTTTCATCAAATGCATCTTGTTGCCTAGATGGAATCAAATATTTTGCCGTGAAATTAATACAATGATGATAGGGTTGACTTAGACGTGTCCTCGATAAGAATTAGTTAATTTTGTAAGTTTTGATTTTCAATTAATAAAAACTAAGGAAAGAGGGGTTTTGTATGTTTTGATGCAAACAAGTAAACAAAATCAATTAAAGTTATGATCCTAGGTAAACTAGTAAACTAAACTCATAAAAGCAATACATCAAAGCATGTAAATGGAAACATTTAAGAAAACAATAAACTTAAACTATGAAAGCATTAAAGAAAAGTTGTAAATTGGATTGGAAATAAAGAAAAAGAAGTAAAATTCCTTTATGGAAGTTGTAAATGAAATGCAGTAAAATATTTTAGAAATATTGTGCATAAAAACTAAAGGTCTAAATAAAATTGAAATTATGCAGAAAAATAGTGAAGAACTCTAAAGAATTACATTTCAATTGAAGTTAGAGTGTTACTCAATTCCTAAATCAACCAATCACTTTGTTGAGGACATGACCTATGACAAGGGCTAGAGTAAGGGAAGCAAAGGAAGTTATTCAACAAGTATTGTTCATATTATTTGAATACAAGCACAACTCACATTTCAAGGAAAAAAGACTAAAGTTGTGAATTACATCATTACCCAAATGGAGAAGGACTAATGCGTCACTTTATTTTAGTCTTTAAGTTTATTTAAATAATGGTCTAGTCCTTTGTGAAATTGGTTGATCAAATTATATTTTGGATTAATCAATTAATTGACTTTAGTTTGATTTTGTTTCAAAGTTGTAAGGGCCTAATTGGAAACTTAGGTATAAGCTTTTGGGAGACCAAGAGGGTGTATAGCTAATTGACTTTTGGTTGCCACAATTTCAGTTACAATCAACCATTAAGTAGTTTTCAATTCATAGGTTAATGAATCATTATTAGCATTTATTTTCCTTTAGTGAATCTTTGTAACTCTGATGACAAAACTTCTTTATAAGCTGAACCATTTTTATCAAAAATAACAAGTGAAATTTTATTCATAAATATTAGAGTTTATCTCTTTTATCTTAGTGAGAGTGATTCTCCTAAATTTTAAGTAATTCAAGAACACTTGGCTGTATCAAAGGACTTTCACATCCTTTGTGAGTTGTCTCCCTTGGAAAGAGTGATTCTTTCCTTCCACCTTATCACTAAATTTCTAAATTTCCTACAAGATTTTAACCCTAAAGATCCTAAATCACCCCTTGTGCAATTGAGATTCATAACACTTAAACCTAGAAATTGAATTATGATCTAAAATGAGATATTCAATAAAATATCCCCAATTACATTGATTGTCATGAATTATAGTTGGTTAAAATCATTCAGAATCAAATCTAAACCATGGAAAAGAAGTTTCAATAGGTGAATCAACCACAAAAAACATGATTAAAGAGTGAAAAACAGTACAAACATGAAAACGGTAAAATAAAAGTGAGAAAAATATA